CCAAGTAATGCTTTACCCTCTGGCCGTTTACCACAAAGCCTTGTCCATCTTTTCCTTTCAAAACCACGGCTCCATAGGGTCTTACTTCAAGAATCGTGAACGGACCGGACCACCTAGACCTCAGCTTCCCAGGGAACAGCTTGAGTCTTGAGTTAAACAACAGAACTTGGTCCCCTTCTTTGAACTCTCTCTTGTGTATCTTCTTGTCATGGAGCGCCTTGGTTCTTTCTTTGTAGATCTTAGAGCTCTCGAAAGCATCTAACCGGATCTCCTCAAGCTCATGAAGCTGTAAAACCCTCTTCTCTTGTGCGGTCTTGATGTCAAAGTTCAGAAGTTTCACTGCCCACAAGGCTTTGTATTCCAACTCAACCGGTAGATGACAGCTCTTCCCATACAGCAAGTTAAACGGTGAGGTTCCAATGGGGGTTTTGTAGGCGGTTCTGTAAGCCCACAGAGCATCGTCAAGTTTCTTGCTCCAATCCTTCCTGGATGAGTTCACGGTCCTTTCCAAAATGGCCTTTATCTGACGGTTGGAAACCTCCACTTGGCCGCTGGTTTGCTGATGATAAGGGGTGGCCACCTTGTGCTTTACTCCGTGGTTCTTCAAAAGACTCTCAAGAGTCTTGTTGATGAAATGGCTTCCCCCATCACTGATGACTACTCTTGGTACTCCAAACCGTGGGAAGATGATACTCTTGAAGAGTTTTACCACCACTTTTGAATCGTTGGTCGGAGATGCAACCGCTTCAACCCATTTACTCACATAATCCACTGCTACAAGGATATATTGATTCCCATATGAGCTTACAAAGGGACCCATGAAGTCAATGCCCCAACAGTCGAAGACTTCTACTTCAAAGATTGGGTTTTGGGGCATTTCATTCCTTTTGGATATGTTTCCGTGCCGTTGACAAGCTTCACACCTCGAGACCACTTCCTGGGCATCTTTGAACATGGTCGGCCACCAGAAACCGCTCTGTAGAACCTTGGCAACTGTCTTGAACGCACCTAAATGACCACCATACGATGAGCCGTGGCATTCTTGTAGCACTGGATGGATCTCTTCTTCGGCCAAGCATCGCCTATAGAGATGGTCCTTGTTAAGCACGTAAAGATACGGCTCATCCCAATGATACCTCATCACATCTCTAAAGAACTTCTTCCTCTGATAAGTATCAAGATCTGGTGGCTCTAATCCGCAAGACAAGTAGTTCACAAGATCCGCGAACCATGGAAGGCTTCTTTACTTGATCGTATTGGCTTCCTCCACCTCTAAGTAAGACCGGACTAACTTGAGATGTTCCTCGGGTAAAGCATCATCTATAGGGACCTGTTCTTCAATCCTCAGCCTTGAGAGGTGATCTGCGGCTCCGTTTTCAATGCCCTTCTTATCAAGTATCTCCATGTCAAATTCTTGGAGCAATAAGACCCATCTCAAAAGCCTCGGTTTAGCGTCCTTCTTAGACATCAGGTACCTCAAGGCCGCGTGATCTGTGTAAACCGTGACCCTTGATCCCACTAGATAACTTCTGAATTTTTCAAATGCAAACACAATGGCAAGCATTTCCTTCTCGGTGGTGGCATACTTTTCTTGAGCCGAGTCCAAAGTGCGGCTGGCATAGTAGATCACATGGAGCTTCTTATCTTTCTTCTGTCCCAAGACAGCTCCTACAGCATAATCAGATGCATCGATCATCACTTCAAATGGTAAAGACCAATCAGGGGCTTGTACAATCGGTGCACTGATCAAAGCATCCTTGATTCTCTTGAACGCTTCCTCACATTCTTCATCAAAGTTGAAATCCACTTCTTTGCACAATAACCTGGTCAAAGGCCTGGCTATCTTGGAGAAATCCTTGATGAACCGTCTATAGAACCCAGCGTGGCCAAGGAAGCTTCTTATTCCTTTCACAGAATTCGGGGCTTGTAAGTTCACCATCACCTCGATCTTGGCCTTATCCACATCGATGCCTTTCTCTGATACCTTGTGTCCCAAGACAATGCCTTCTTGGACCATGAAATGACACTTTTCCCAGTTTAAGACAAGCCTATGCTCCTCACACCGCTTGAGAACCTGAGAAAGATTAGCAAGACATTCGGAGAAAGAGGAGCCGTATACGGAGAAGTCATCCATAAACACCTCAACTTTCTCTTCAATTAGATCAGAGAAAATGTGCATCATAGATCTTTGAAAAGTGGCCGGTGCATTACACAAACCGAATGGCATTCTTCTATAAGCATAAGTGCCATAAGGGCAGGTGAATGTCGTTTTCTCTTGATCTTGGGGGTCTATAGGTATTTGAAAGAACCTCGAGTATCCATCGAGAAAACAAAAATAAGGATGATTAGCTAACCGTTCAAGCATTTGATCAATGAATGGTAAAGGAAAATGATCTTTTCTTGATGCAGAATTCAATTTCCTATAGTCAATGCACATGCGATGGCCGGTTATAGTTCTTTGGGCTATGAGTTCATCCTTATCGTTTTTCACCACCGTGATCCCACCTTTCTTGGGCACAACGTGTACAGGAGATACCCACCGAGAGTCAGAGATTGGATATATTATCCCTGCCTCAAGGAGCTTTAGTATCTCCTTCTTAACCACCTCTTTGAGGTTCGGGTTAAGTCGACGTTGGTGCTCAATAGAGGACATGGCTTGGTCCTCTAGGTGGATCCTGTGGGTGCATATATCAGGAGAGATTCCTCTAATGTCAGCCAAGGAATACCCTATCGCTCTCCTGAATTTCCTTATTTCACTAAGTAATGCACGTTCCTCATGCTCAAGCAAGTTATCGTTTATGATCACAGGAAAAGTAGAGTTTAGACCTAAGAATGCATACCTGAGCCCTGTTGGTAGAGGCTTGAGCTCAACAGGGGGTGCGTCTGCCTCATTCCAATCGGCATCAAAGCTGCATTGGCCTGGAACAGCTTCCTCGGCCTTTGCTTCATTCTCGCGCGGTTTACCATCGGCCTCGGTATGAGTTGTCACGGCCATGATATCCCGAGGTGTCTCTTCTTTTCCCTTTGACTCCTCGCTTTCTAGAATGTCGAGGCTGCTCGTGTGGAGCTCCAAAAACCTCGCTTCAGCTCCAAGTTCCCTCGGTTGGTCCAAAAGACGCTTGTACACCTCGCTTTCCTCGTTCAAGTACCCGTGCTCGCTTTGTTCCCGCGTTAAAACCACTTGTAACGGAACCTCTGCGTTCAACTCTTCAAGGAGCTCATCAGCCAGCTCCTCCATTACCTCCACATAGAAAACCTGACCTCCAATGGTCGGTTTATTCATCATTTCCTTCACGTTGAACTTCATAGTCTCGGAACCGATGTGTAGTTCAATCATTCCTCCTCTCACATCTATTATGGCTCCTGCGGTTGCTAAGAACTGTCGGCCCAAGATGATAGGGTCTAATGGTTCCTCGTCCATCTCAAGAACTATGAAGTCCGTGGGGATTTCTATCTCACCGATCCTCAAAGGTAGATCCTCAAGCAACCCCACCGGTAATCTAACCGATCTATCAGCTAATACAAGAGAGATCTTGGCTGGCTTGTAGCTTTTGTATCCCTATCTCTTGGCCACCGTGTAAGGCATTAAGCTCACAGAAGCTCCAAGGTCACATAAACAGTTTGAGAACTTCAGGTGACCTAAAGCACACGGCAAAGTGAAGCTGCCCGGATCGGATAGCTTCCTTGGTATAGATCTTCTTTGTATTATGGCACTGCACTCATGGCTCAGTATCACCATACCCTGGAGCTCCTTTGTCTTGTTGAGGATCGCGTCCTTTAGAAACTTCCCAAGCTGGGGTATAGCTAAGAAAGCATCTATAATGGGTAAGGTGAGTTGCGTGTTCTCCAAGTGTTTCTCAAAGACCGCCTTGGCCTTGTCTAGGATTTTCTTTTTGAAACGCCCTGGGAACGGTATCTTGGGTTGATAAGGTGGTGGTGGAACATAGGGCTTTTCAAGCTCGGTTGTCTTTTCCACCTCTTTTCCTTTGTCCTTGATCGGTTCCTTCTCTAAGACCGCTTCTTTACACGCATCGTCTGAGGCTGCCTCCCCCTCTAATTGCTCATTGGCCTCAATGAGCTTTGTCTTAGGTGTTGGAGTTTGTAATTCCTTACCACTCCTCAATGTGATGGCGTTCACATACTCTTTAGGGTTCGGCTCCGGTTTACCTGGTAAAGCCGAGCCTCTTGATGATGTAGAAGCTTGATTCTGCTTAAGCTCTCTGATATCTTGCTGCATTGTCGCGTGCTGGCTCTCAACCCTTTGCTGGCCCTGTAACAGTTGCTGTAGTATCCCACAGACGTCGTTCCCCATTTGATTCTGACCCGTTCCCTGAATCTGTTGTTGATTACCCATCGGCTGCGGATGGAACCCTGGTGGAAACTTGTGTTACTGCGGTTGGTTGTTGAAGTTGTTACTCTGAGCCGCTTGATTCTGCTGAGTGTAGCCGTGCTGTTGCCCACTGAACTGTTGCTTGGGCTGGAAGGTATTCTGAAAAGGAGCCTTTTGAGCATAGCTTTGTTGTTGTTGTTAAGCAGGGTACACTTGGTCTTGAGGGTTAGCTACATTCGGGTTTCTGTATGAGAGGTTTGGGTTACTGTTGTAGTTGTTAAACCGCTGATACCTCTGCTGATTCCCTATGTAATTCAGCTCCTCTTGTGTTAGACCATCTTCATTAACATTGTCAAAACTTGGCCCTTGCTCATCAAACTCGCCTACAAAGTGTATTGGCTTTTGAGTCGCCATCAAAACCTTGTCAAGCTTACTCTGAAGCTCTCTTATATCCTTTTTCATGCGCTGTTCATCACTAGATCCCTCTGTACGGTTTGCTCTATCAAAGTCCTCTCCATACGTGTCATTGGACATGGCTAGGTTCTCAACTAGTTCCATTGCCGCAGTGATCTCTTTTCCAAGAAAATTCCCATTTGAAGCTGTATCGAGTTGGTTTCTGATCTTGGGGAGTGCACCTCGGTATAAAGTACTCAAGAGGGATGCCTCTGAGAAGCCGTGGTGTGGGCATTGGTTAGTGTAGCTTCTAAACCGTTCCCAAGCTTCACTAAAGCTCTCGTTATTGTGCTGCGTGAAACTTGAGTTCTGTTTCCTGAGCTTAGCCGTGCGTGATGTGGAAAAGAACTTAGATAAGAACGCATGTTTACACTGCTCTCAGGTTTGTATAGAACCCCTCGGTATATTCTTTTCCCACTGGTGTGCTTTATCACCGAGGCTGAAAGGGAACAAGCGTAGCTTGAAGCTATCTTCGGAGACACCATTTATCTTGGTTAAGTCGCAAACCCGATCAAATTGATCTAGATGCTCGAGAGGGTCTTCTCCAGCCAGACCGTGGAACTTTGAGTTTTGCACCATATTGAGCATGGAAGCTTTAACTTTAAAGTTGTTGTTTTGAACTGGTGGAGCTTGAATCCCATCTCGGTATTGGTGCGCATTAGCACGGTCATTCTCTTCAACACAGATTGGAGGATGTTGTCTCTGAACTTGGGGCGGTGGCGGATGAAAATGATGGGCTTGTTGTTCATTTCTATTCGCTTGGTGTTGGTTTTGCTGAGCAAGCCGTTCGTTTCTTTGAGCCTGTTGCTGATTAACATAGGCTTGTTGTTCATTTCTTCCTGCCTGCGCCTGATTAGCCTGAGCCTGGTGCTCGGCTGCCTGAGCCTGTTGCTCCATTCTCTGTTGTTCTGCCATTCCAAGTCTGTCAAAGTGCCGTTCTCTCTCGCGAGCTCGCCTTTCTAATCTGTCGATGTTATCGTCGTATGGGAAAAGCGATCCTGTGTTCCGAGACCTGGTATTCATGCACCTGAAAACAAAACAAGAACTTGGAAAGAAGTTAGTAAAACAAAGGAAAGAAAAGCTTGAACTCAAGAACAAACAAGAGACTAATGCTCCTACAAGTTGGCAACGGCGCCAATTGATAACTAAGAGTTTTCAGGCTCTTAGAAAGGTTATCAATCCCCTTGTCAAAGTAGTATAAGGGGTGTCAAACCAAGCTTGTAAACGAGACACTAGCCTATGTCATTTGTTCACTTAAGTCAAGACAAGATGATAAAAGTTTGGTGACGATGATTAACAGGCAAATGAGCAATAAAGTTAAATAAAAGCAGAGATTTAAACTAATCAAGATGCAAATAACAAACAGGTGATTCAGATGATGGTAATGAATGATAAATGCAGAAGCTTTAGACATGATATTTGACTCGGGTGCTTCCAAGTTAGACTAAGGGGCTAATGAATCATTTTATCAAGCGATTTCATTTGACTTTGAACTCAAGGCACGTTAATCTTCTCATGAAAGTATTAAACGTCTAAACTGATCCTCTTTCATACCAAAATCCCTTTTGCGAAGCACGAATCAGTCAGCAATAAGAATCGGTTCAAAAACGTCATTTAAGAGAACAAACTATCACTCTCGCGATGAAAGACTATTAAACCCTTAACCGAGTGGTTCAGACATTTCTACAAACACTTCTGATGCGAGATATGTCTCAGATCTGAACCTCAAGTGATGTGCTTGGATCCAGCTTAGAGATCTCGTCGGTTAAGGAATGAAACATGCAAGACTAGACACCTAAACCCATTAATCCACCTTGAAAGCACCCTAATCTACCTATCTAAAGCCGCTTAAACGACTACTCACTGATCATAACGAGCTCACTAAGTCCTTTGCAAGACGTGTAGCTAGTCATGATAAGGAGTTTTATGTTGGATGATAAAGAAATAAAGAAAGAACAAGATTCTGATGCAAAAACGAGATATCGGATTAGATTAATCAAGTTTCACAAAAGCGGCAAGTTCTTAGAGCTAAAAACAGATAAGAGATAAGATAACTAGGTTTTTAGTCTCAAAATGTATTTATAGCAAAGGGAAAGTGTCGCGGGTCAGCCCGTAACAAACCGGGTACTGAACCGCCTTCTTGGGTTGATGGGTGAGTGCCACGGTGTGTCGGAAAGTGAAGCCGAGGTCTTCATGCCGAGGCGTGCACGTGAGTCAGGATCCAGATGAAGATCTCGTGAAGAACACGTCAAGAACATGCATGAACCCTAGTCTTTGATCTATCCTCACGTGTATGTTCTTGAGCCATTCTGTTCTTGATTCTGGGTTCGTGACAAGGGACCTCGGGATAAAATGTCGAGGGGTCATGATGTCGAGGTGCTTGGGAGAACACAGTCCGGCATGCACGCCGAGGTCATTACACCGAGGTGTACTTTCAACACTTAGTCGTTTCCAGCTTCAGTTCTTACGTATGCATGCCTCGATCTAACCATGCCAAGGCTTTGGCACGAGGTCTAGTCCAGAATACTTCCAAGATATGAGCCTCGACTTGAGTGACGCCAAGGTAAAGATACCGAGGCTTGTGAGAATACTTAGCGCGTATCGCAACTCTTTTAGACTTGTATCGACCATGTCACCTTCCGGAAGCAGTAACTTTCAGCACACGACTCCAATTGCTCTGGGACCAGTTCCACAGTCAAGATGACTCAATAAGCTCAAACTTTGGTGAAAAAACCATCGGAGCTTGGGGAGTGGAAGGCTTCCTGGATTTAACATCTTTGCGCCGCATTGAAATCACCGTAAAATAGACTTTTAGACCGATGTGAACTCCGGAGACGCTATCTTCCAAACCTTTGCTCCGAATTGAGCGATTCTAAATGCTCTGAGCAGATATTCCATGGATCTCAAACTTTGGTGAAGACCGGGTAAGCTGGTTCGGTCTGGAGGGGCTCCGTCCGCCATGATCTTTGAAGTTCGCCGTTCAGTTCTCGGGTACGCGCAATGCTGGTGAATGCTCCGGAAGCCATATCTTTCTCTCCACTGGTCCGAATTGGATGATTCCAACTGTTCTGGAATCTTTGCTTGATTATCTCCAACTTTGGTGAAGACCCCGCCAACTGATTCGGACCGGAAGGTTCCCCGGATTGCTGATCTCTGAATTGCGCGGGCAAGGACAACTTTTGGTCGTAAAAACCTTACCCGCGGTAAGAAAAATGGCCGAGGGCTGTGTACCGCGGTAAGCTTTTTGGTCGTAAAAATTTTTGCCTCGGTCAAAAACTTGTCCCATGTTATTTTTGCACTCGATACTCGATTCTGGCCGATCGGTAAGGTTTTTGGCCGGTAATGAGCGTCCGGTAAACATTTTGGCCGAGGTTTCCGACCAGCCGGTACGAGATTTGGCCGAGAAATTCCTCCAAGCGGTTTTCACCATTTTTGACCCTTTTCTTCACCGTTTTCTTTTCTGTTCCTCTTCTTAGGCTCCAATTGGTCTCCAAAGCTCCTGATAAAGACTTCAAAACATGCAAAACTCTTTGGGACCTAATGCAAGCCCTAAGTCCTATTTTAACGCCTAAAGACTCAATTTACATGAGAAAGCACCTGATGAGGACTCTATAATGCAATCTAAATGATGTAAAATATAGACATATCACCAGTTAACCTTCCGAGCCGCGAGAGTATCTTGAACAGAGAAAAGGTCGTCGGGAACAAGAGGAAGAAAACTCCGAACTGCAAAAACAATGCCAAAACGACTAAGTTAGAAGATAGAAATCGCACCATAACAAGCTCCGAGCCAAAACAAGGCTTCAGATCGACTACCAAGTGGTCCCGAAACAGTCTTCGTTTTATGTACAAAACCCTCGCCCACCGATGCCTCGTTCACCAAAATATAGAAGAAACGTTCAGTCCAAAACTGATCTTTGCTCGGGAAACCGCCTATGATCCGGCGATTGGACTTATTGGAAATATAAAATCTGCCTCCTCTGGGGCTCTCCGGATTTCCGAAAGGTTAAGCAGATGACCGAGCTCGACTTCGACACCGCATTCGAAGCTCCGAACCAGGATGCCGATCATATGTCGCAAACCTCTCGGCATAATCTGCCTAATCGAAATCCCATGCTCCCACAAGTATTCAAGGATAACTCCGGGATTGGGAACCATAGGAAGCAGAGCTCGAAAAACGCCTCGTATTAGGTGAAGTGATTTTCGGGAGGCTTGTTGGCTTGGTCACTCTTCTCCGGAACGACGAACTCAACCGCTTCAAATATTCCAAAGCAATGACGCAACGCCTCGAGCGATTCGAGGGAGGAGAGTGTGGAACCGGGAGGATCGGGTTTTGGCCTTTTCACCCGTTTGGGCTTTCCCTTCCCAGAAGAAGAAGCACCTCGGGATGCCATAAGCCACTCTAATTCGAGCCTCGCCTTAACCGCGGCATAGTCAACCTCCTCTTGGTTGAAGGAACCCCGAGAACAGCTCGTCGAAGCAGACACCTCGTTATTAACAGAGCAAGCGCCAGAAGGGCTCGGAGAATTCGACATATCCCGATCCTCGGCAGAATTGTTGGAGGGGTTCGGCGAAGTAGATACCTCGGAAGATCCCGTCGCACTCCTCACTACGGCGTCCGCATGGCTCATTTCATAATCGAACAGGGGTTCTAGCGAATCGCCCTAACGGCTCGACATATTTTACAGCTCGTACCAAAATTACAGCGCTTTACGACAGGGTTCGCCGAAAAAAGATCTGAGACGACGAGAACCTCGGAACCCTAGCCAGAAAATAAATAAACTAGAGAGAGAAAGAAGAGAGAAGGGAGAGCTACCTTTAGTAAAAATGAGAGATCTGAAGTTATGAGAAGGAACGAAGGGAGCTCACCTATTTCTAGAACAACCGAAGCGCGTGGAGTCCGCGTGGACCTCGGGATGGCGCAAAGGTAATAAATGAAGGCGCGTGAAGTCCGTCTTGCCATACGCGCCAGTACCCAGAATTTCTTGAAGAAAACTGACGACTGCTAAACACTTCCCGTACGGAGCTGTCCAGGTACGCCGAACCCACAACGCAACTACACTAATCTGAGTATATTTCGTCGAACCGCAAAAAATTAACCTTGCATTGTCAGAACTGCTCGGTAACCTGTCCTTAGAACGCCTCGTCGTTGTTATTAACACGAAACGGCTCGGCAACTTCATGAGAACGCCTCGTCGTTGTCGTTAAACACAAAACGGCTCGGCAACTTCATGAGAACGCCTCGTTGTTGTCGTTAAACACAAAACGGCTCGGCAATCTAATAAGAACGCCTCGTCGATATTGTTAACACAAAACGGCTCGGC